GGGGGGGAGGGAGAAAAAAAAGAAGATGGGGATGGGCACGAAGGAGCCCAAGGGTTGAAAGGACAAGAGCAGAGCAAACGCGAATGGCATTCACGGTTTGCAACGTTTTCCTGTTTATACGTTAGTGTAAACAAGAAGGAATAGCAAGGCAGCCCGTGTGCTAGATGCGGTTGCCCGGCTCCTGGCTCATGCCCTGCTTTTCGTGGCTAGCTCTCACTGCCCTGGGAAAAAAAAAAAAAAAAAAGGAAAAAAAAAAAGAATTAATACATTTGAAAGGGGGAAAAAAAATGTTGTAACTCCAGGGCTTCAAGCTAGTAAATGAAAATAAACTAGCCGTTCCCACGTTGCAGTTTTTAGATGCTGGGTTTCGTCTTGCCGCACTATCAATCTGCTGCTCTTTAAACTTTCCACCAGCCCAATTCCCTGCAAACCTTCATCAAAACTGCAACACCCCCCCAGTCCGGGCTGGTGGGAGGGTTTATTACACCCCTCTCCTCTTTCAAAGGCTTCCCCGAATATTCGCCCCAGCCTGCAGAGCTTCACCTAACCCGCCCCACTTTGTTTTTTTCGTTTAGCGGGAGCCGGTGGGGCAGGGGCTCTGCTCCCCTCGCCCTCGCCAGTCCCTCGCCTCCCGTCCCCCTGCCTCCCCCGAGAGCTCGATGGGGTGTTTTGGTTTTGTTTGGGTTTTTTTTTTTTTAAATTAAAGCCCCTTTTAGGAACTGTACCTCTTGCCTTCAAACCGCCTTGTTTAACCTGCCTCAACCTGCACATTTGGAATAAATCCACAGCTCGCTGTTGATCAGCTCCATGTAATTAAATATATACAGGACCATTTCCTCCAGCGTTGTCCACCCGCCCGCGCCCCCTCCGGCCCCCGCTCCGCAGCCCGCTTGGAGTTTGCAGCTAACGACGGCGATGCTGTAATAGATTTTGGTCCTCCATCAAACATGTTTTTCCTGTTTGGCAGAGCAACAGGACCGCCTGTTGTTAATCCCCTTTCCCCAGAGTGACCGCGGCCCGTTTCTGCCCCCGAAATGAGTTTCTCCCATTAATAACGATCGGGGCTTTGACGCCGCAATCTTTCCCCAATGCCGGGGCTCTGGTGAGTGACCCGCTCCTCGCCTCCCCCGGGGGAAGCGTGGGGGTCTGCTCTTCTGACCCTCTGCCCTCCATCCCCTTGCAGAGGAGAAGCCGGGGGCCGACAGCGATGCGGAGGTGGAGAAGGTGCCTGAGGAGCGGCCGGCGGTGGCCGCCAGCCCTGGCGGGGAGGACGCGACGCCCCGCGATAGCCCCCGCTGCCCAGAGGAACGGAGTAAGGAGAGGCGCAGCCCGGAGAAGGTCAAGGATGGCGCGTCCCCCCGGGAGGGACCCGGCGAGGGCCTGTTCGGTGCGAGGGGCCTGGAGAAGGACAAGGTGGAAGGACGAAGGAAAGAGCCGGACCCAAGCAAGAAGGACGCGGAGGGTGGCCTGGGCAAGGAGGCCTTCGCCCCGCTCATGGTGCACACGGACAGTCCTCCGCACCTTAGCGCCGGGCACCTGCAGAGCCTGGCGCTCTCCGGCCTCCATGGGCAGCAGTTCTTCAGCCCCCTGGGTGCCGGGCAGCCCCTCTTCATCCACCCGGGACAGTTTGCCATGGCCCCCGGCGCCTTCTCCGCCATGGGCATGGGACACTTGCTGGCCTCGGTGACCGGTGGGAGCAGCCTGGAGAATGGAGCCCTCTCATCCGCCCCAGGCGCAGCGGGGACAGCCACCCCCTTCCCTTTCCACCTCTCCCAGCACATGCTGGCCTCTCAGGTAAGCCCCCGTGCCCACCCCGTGTCCTCGTCCCCATCCCTGCTGTCCTGGCCGGGCCCTAGGCCCTCCTCTCCTTGTCCTTTCCCAAAGCTTCCTGAATTTGGGGCGCTTTGTGGGCATGGGTCCTCCTGGTGTGGGGACACGCGAGGTGGCCCCAGTGCAGGTCAGGCGCTGTTGGTGCCCCCAGCCTCCACCACGCCCCCTGCAGCCCGTGGGGACAAGGGGATGACACTCCCCTGGCTCCCTGACATGCTGCCTGGTGTGGCACAGGCGGGACATGGGGGACATTTTGAAGGCTGGCCTTAAGGCTGGTTTGAGGAGGAATCTTGAATTTTTTGCAGCTGGTGTGGTTCCCCCACAGGCAAGGGCAGAGTCAGGAGCTGTGGCCCTGCCTGACCTGGCTGTCCCCATCCAGCAGCCCCCCATCTCCCTGCCAGCCCCGAAATGGCTCCCACCACGCCTGGCTTGTGTTGCCTTTGCCAGCCCCTATGATGAAACACATAAAGATGTCTTTGAACTCCCCTAATTTATCGATCCTACTTAACTATGTGTTTTAATGTGGTTAAAGGTCTGTGATGCTGCACAGACGGGGACACACAGTGTGCGAGGAGGCCCGGGAGCAGGGACGGGGCAGGTCCCAGAGAGGTGTTTGTGCCCGGTGGCACCAGCCCGGCTCGGTGTGGGGTGAATGGGGGTTCCCCAGCCGTACCCCCTTCCCTTGGTCCATCCCACAGGGCGAAGATCACTCTTTTTAAGATGACACCAGATATCTGCCTTTGCTTTGGCTTTCTCCAGGGAACACTGTTCTCAGGGGCAGGCAGAAGGGGGGATGCAGCGGGTCATCGGCAGGGCTCTCCCCCCCCCCTCTCTCTCTCCGCAGGGAATCCCGATGCCCACCTTCGGCGGACTCTTCCCCTACCCCTACACCTACATGGCGGCAGCTGCG